GCAGCAGCAGCAGCAGCCGCAGCGGTAGCCGTAGCCGTAGCCGTAGCAGTAGCCGCAGCAGCAGCAGGAGGAGGATGAGGAGGATGAGGAGGAGGAGGAGAATGCTCCAGGGTCCACCACCGTTCTTCCGTAACCTCAGTACCTTGGAGGCCCTGAAGGCTTTTGGCTCCTAATGATCAGGTCCTAATGCAACCACAATGTAATTTACCCTGATCTTTCAAGGCTGGTTCGACCTGCCGGAGCAGCCAATTATGGAAGCACGCTCCCATCGCGGAATGCAAGAGGCTGTGGACCGCCCCTCAGCTACCACTTGCTATGCCAATCTTCACTCCACACACGTGGACTTGTATTGCAGGGCCGCTTACTGGAAGCAGTATTCAACGTGCAGTGGCAGGTGTTCACGGGCTGCTCTACGAAGCTATAGAGCAAGGCAGGTGCCGCATGATACCGCATACATGTGGATTTCTTCACGTTTGCTGGACTTCGCGTAGCGGCAACTGTCAGGATTTGTTGCTGATCGCATTCTACTTTGTGGCTTCAGTCAAGGCTGGCCGTCTTGTGCGCGTTTCTGGCAGCTCCACTCTGCAAGACAGGCGGAGCGCTAGCTCTACAGGCAGGACTAACATTCCCAAAAGCTCTGGCTGGAATCTGCGCCGTGGTCATGCCCCGAGCATCGAGGGATGTCTCGGGGCTTTCTGTATGACAGCAAGCAGGGCTCCTAAATTTCCGTCTCGACGCATGGTGAGGCGAGTTGGACTACAGCAGATCTTCCTTATGCTACCGAGAAGAACACTCTGCCCATCTTGATGTGCCATGGTAGCGACGATGTTATGGTTCCCATTGAAGTCGCAAGAAAGAGCTGCAACTCCTGCTGCAAGTTACGTCTTTTCTTTGCACTGTGTGAGCTTCAGTGACACCATGGATCCCGCACATCCCTCCCGTACTGAGGTAAATCGTTGGCGATGAGGGGCTATAGCAAAGTCAACCTTGTGACATTCAAGGGGTTGCGTCACCAGCTCATCTCCCATGTGCTGGAAGAGACCCTGGAGTTCGTGAAGCAACTTCTTCCGTGCTGCTCTGCTGAGCTGGCAGCAGCCGTCCCTTTGAGGCTTACCTGATCTAGGAGTGATCTCGAAGCTGTCAGCTTGAAGCATGCGACAAGCCGCTGAGGAAAGACTTGAACGGATGCTTGATTTGGCTGCATGATGCCACTGTTGTCGGAGAAGTTGACGAAGCCCTGATGACTGATAGGATGGTTTGACTTGCATGCATGGGTCATCCTCACGCCAGCTTGAGGAAGGTAGGGAAGCATGTCAGACTGTTTCGTCGCAGCTGGCTGCCTTGCCAGCTTGGGCTATCAATTCCGGGTTGGTCATGGCCACATGGCATTTCCTCCTCAAAAGCAATGTTTGCTGCTGAGTTCCCTGTCAGGACAAGCAAAGTTCTTCCACTTGTCCATTTGCAGTTAGTGCAGCTCTCTGACAAGGAAGCAGTACTTTGCCGGCACATTCAAAGGCAGAACGCCATCCAGGTCTTGCTTTCGGTGTCTCTGCCAGTCCGAGGTGAAGGACGGCTTGTCCCTTCTCTCTGTTGTCACCGCCCAGCTGCAGAAAGTCCGCGTCCTACAGAAGGAATGGATTGACTGCAGCCGTGCACTATATGTGCTGCGTTACATATTAGAATTGATTGCAGAGTGATCCTAACTTTCGTCGCCTTCATGAGGCAAAGTCTGCTGGTTTTGCCGCTGAAAGGACGGCCTCTCGGCCAACCAACACTTATCTTATGCCCTGCAATCACCACAGCAGCAGCAGCGGCGGCGGCGGCGGCGGCAGCAGCAGCAGCAGCAGCGGCGGCAAGCATCAGCTAGGCAGCACGTTTTGCAGTAATGAGCTACGAGGCTGCAAAGGACGGGCGGCCCCTGATTGCCCATCTGCTGCCGAAAGGTTCTGGGTGGCTTCGGAGCAGGCGGCACTGCAGCGTTGCTGACTTTGCCTCGTGCTGGCCTTGCAGGCCTTGTGTGCCTCAGAACGCAGCTACAGATCGCTGCTTCACAGATCTTTGTTGCAGCTTACGTGCTAGCACAGCTGAAGATGAAACCAAGGTGCAGCTGTGGATACGCATCGAGTGGGCTGCCTCCGCAAGCCGCTGTCCAAGTTCGTGAATGAGCATACTTTGCATGCTGACCATGAACTACTTGTCCAGCTCACGGCCAGCACGAGGTTTCGACAGGAGAGGACGAGCTCATCGTGGTTCTTCATGGCCTGGAGGACCACGCTCAAGGTTACACCAGGGTTGTTGCTAGACGGCTTGCCCCTCGAGGACGATGTCGTTCCGATTGAAGTTGCTCGCGAGCAGTGGCAGGTGCTGGGATCGAGAGGCTACCGCGGAGCTGCTTGAAGCAATTTCGAAGCTGGTTGCAGGATGGAAGTGTCAGACTATGTCAGACTAACTTCGCGTCAGCTGAGGTTGCGTTCAATGCCATGAAGGGCCTTCGCCATGAGTTCACCATGGGACTCTGGCAAGATGTTCTTGAAACGGTGGAGGCCATACTCGGAGTAGGAGCAGACGGCTGTGCTGGCCGTGCGCCGCAAGGCATTGCTTGAGGATTTCACGACTTACCATTGAGGGTTGCAAAGCCGGCCCACACTTTGTACGTGCGCCAAAGAATGCGCCTGCAAAGAACAGCCTTGCCAGCTCGCCGCTGATGCGGGAAAACATGTCCCAATGTCCACCTGTTGCTTGATCACATGCACCGATCCATGTAGCAGTGCAGCGTTTGAGATCCCCAAATTTTTCTCCCCCCCTTTGACAAACTCTGATCTCTGCGATCCTTGAAATAGGGTTTCAGGACTTGACACTCCGTGGGCGGGTGTTCCTTTGTTTCCACACTGCATGCTTGTATCCCTCCAATGGTCATGGGATGAGTTCTTTCCATGGGCCGAGGTCTCTTCAGACTTCTGGACATCGATAACGAAGGCGGGATTCTCTCAGTTGACTTCATTTGGAATTCTTTTCAAAGGTTTTGATGTAGGAAATGCTTGAGTGCATCTCCGTTGTGGAAAGCCCGCGCAGGCTCTATTGATGTCGAAGAGTTTATCGCTGGCTGCTGTCGCATCCATGGTCCTGCCAAGGCTCCAAGAGCCAACCTGGGCTGGAAATGCCAGCGTGATCCGAGCACTTTGGAGCATCATGCAGCTAGGGAGCATCATGCAGCTAGCCAGGCTATCGACTTGACCACGCTTATGTGCCAGGCGGGGTTCCATTTGTTTGATAGGAATTGCAATCATTATCACTGGTTCCATGCATGGCCCATGGCTATGTTCTGGCACCTGCACTGAACCTGAGATTTCTGAAGGTGATGCTGCTCCACAGGCAGTGGCGACAGCACGCTAACCTGGTAGAGGAGCCAACAATCCTTAAGTTTGTTGGGAACCAGCCTGCAATATGCACCTAGCAGAGGTTCACTTTGCGGTCAGTATCCATCAGAGTGCTTCGCTTTGACATGGGAATGCGCATGGCAGGAGTTCCTGCAATACACCGGCTTCTTAAACGGAGGCTCGTCCTTATAGCAGTGTAGCAGCTCGCATCGGTGCGGATTTTGTGATTGCACGCACATCTATGCAAGCAGCAATGGTATCAATTCTGAGCATAGGGCTTTGTATGCAATGTGTATGATCGGAGCAGCATCCCAAAGGGCTTCTCCCAACCTGGCTGGAGGTGAAACGCCTGTCGGGCCCTCATCCTGGCTAGCTTGCTCAAACCTGGCTGCAAAGCTATCCGTACAGTCAACCGCTGGAAAAATTGCCATGCTGTTGTCAAAGCTCTGTCTTGATTAATTGCATCTGCTCAGATGACGATGGCCTCCGCTAGCCCCGCCAGCCCGCTGGGTAAAGGCAGGGCTGCCATTGAACCAACACGCTGAGAAGTCGCTTGCAGAGGACTTGGAAGGCTCCTGATAGCCCGAGGATTCTGAAAATCAGCGATGTTCAGAGTTCAGAATATCTAGACTCAGTATCTTCAAAACTGAGAGCCCTTGTCCTCCTTACATACAACAGGCTACCTATCTATTGTGGACCTCTCAGTTCCCCCCCCGGCCGCCACACTGTCCAGCCGAGTTGCAGGCACTCCGAGGGCGCAGAGGCGCTTCTGGGCCGCTGGGGCGGCGGGATTCTTTCTTGGGTGCTCCTGTCATTTCAACGTTGGGGGTATAACGGAAGAAACCTTGCAATTTCATAGATACTTTCGACCTTCCAGAACATTCGTCCCAAGCAGCTACTCATCTGGAGAAAGTTGAGCCAGGAGATTCAGCTTCTGCTTTTCCTCGGATGAAAAGGACTGGCATCTTTAAAGTTTTTGCAGTCTTCAAGGACAGGATGAAACAGTATTGCTTAGAACAAAGCCGGGTGATCTGGCAGGACATTAGCAATGAAAATGTTACGCTCGAGCTGTCCCAGCCTGAGTGGCGGATGACCGGTCTAAAGACCTGTCTCAGGCTGAGCGGCTGTGTTAGCCCTGCATGATAGCTTTTGTGCGATAAGTTGGCTTTGGATAGTGCACTGAACAGGGGTGAAGCTGGCAGGCATACTGAAATTTGATTTGTCATCCATCTTCGCCCCCTGTGAAGCCCTTCTCAACCCTCCAAGCTGCACAGGCCAGAGCTGAACGAGGCGAAGGTGCACTTCTGTTTCCAGACCTTGGAATATCTGAGATTTGGGTACTTGAAAGTTCTCAGGCTTCCTGCTCCATGAAGCACTTGAGCCCGGCCGTGCAACAGAGCTTCAGATCCCTATGGGAGCATCCTGTGCAATCTCATTAGCCACTGGAACCTTGCAGTCTGTCACCGCCGCATGTGTAAGAAGGTGCAGGATTCGCGCAAGTTAGGAAGTAGGCTTTGCAACTTGTGGGCGACCTCCGTGAAGTCGCTCGACTTGTGCAACTTCCGTGTGTTTGGCATCATACGGTCATACACCGCTCTTGTCCGTCCAATCTGATAACGCGGCGCGCGGCATTGGAATGACACGCAGACCGCATGTGCTCGTGGCCTTGCTTGGCCCTCAACATTTACAGAACATTGTCTCACGCGTCAGGCTTTGGCAAATCAGTCCGATGCAAGTGCGAGGCTGAGTCTGGAATCTGTTTTCTCAATGGCTTGCAAGCCTGATATCATCTGCAGTAGCACTTCTTAATCGCGGCTGCGGCTGTCAATATGTAACACAACAGTTTCCATTTTGTTTTCCATTATCCCAATATAACCCCAATAGAACCCTAACATAACCCTAACCCCAATATAACCCCAAAAAATCCCAACAAAACACTAATAAAACACGAATAAAACAACAACAGTATTGTGACCATGGGAAGAGCCTCCGCCAAGGTCCTCGGACCCAGCTGGCCAGCCGCCAAATTGCCGGCGCCCAAGAATCTACCAATACTTGTTCCCATATGGGGTAAGATTGGGGTTTTATGGGGATGAAAGATGGAAACTATAGGGATTATAGGGGTTATATAGGGATTATAGGTTCTATATTGGGGCTATATTGGGATAACGGAAAAGAAATGGAAACTACTATAGTATATTGGGGTTGTATGAGGAGAATGGAAAAGAAGATGGAAACTACTAGCTCACGCGCGCCTAGAGCGCCTGCATGTTTCAGAGGGCTGAAAAGTGCACGAAACTGAGGTTTTAGCGCGATTTCAACCGCCAAATGGGGTTGTGCGAAACCCTGAAAATCTATCATCTGCGTTTGGTGGAACGCAAGGTACTCAAAACTTGGCACGTTATTATGGTTGGTGCATGGATGCACTGGTGACCGCATGCACTCGGAACACGAACGTTATTATGGTTTGGGCCTGGATGCACTTGTTATCGGATTACCCAATGCGCTCGAACACGAACGTGATTATGGTTTGGGCATGGATGCGATGGTTATCGTATGCACTCGGAACACAAACGCTATTGTGGTTTGCACATGGATGCACTTGTAATCGCATGCACTCGGAACACGAACGTGATTGAGGTTTGTGCATGGATGCAATTGTAATCGCATGCAGTCGGAACACGAACGTTATTATGGTTTGTGCATGGATGCACTGGTGACCGTATGCTCTCAGAACACGCGCGTCATGAAGGTTCGGGCATGGATGCTCTTGTAATCGCATGCACTCGGAACACGAACGTTGTTATGGCTTGGGCATGTCAGGTGCTTGTCCGTGCTGAGCGTAGAAGGCGGCAAACCATGACAAAAATCAGCGCCGGAATCGCCAGGCGATCTGAGGGCGCGCCACCAACTACTATAGTATCTTGGGGTTGTATTAGGGTCACAGTATTTGCCTGTAGGGTAGCTTTCACTTATTTTGCTGGACTGTGGGTTGGCTGAGACCTTGTCGAAGGTCAATGCCTCTGACAAGAAAGAGCTGGGTGTCTTGCCTGTGGCTAAGCCACCTTCACCACTTTCACTGTAATCGGGACGCTAAACTATCATTTCTTGATAGGATACAGAGACTATGCCCATCGCCACAGCAGACAACTTTGCAACCAGTTGGCGTTCCTTGCGTCTTATTTGTGCACATGCCCTTGGACAACTATGGACGCTCAGGGCAATTCTGTGGATCTGTCTAATTCCAGCACATGGGCATGGGCTGATCAGAGAAGCCTATGCAGACCTCCAGCAGAAGCTCCAAAGGAGCCAGCTGAGGAGGTCTTCAAAGGTCTTGAAACAGATTCCAGAACTAGCAACAAAAAAGGCACATCCGGAGGACAGGGAATGTATGCGCAAGGTTCAGCAGTCAGCCAAGCAAGAGCCAGCAGTTCAAGTGCCTGATCCCCCCTTCGCAGGCGTTTTCGCGCTGCTTGCAACTCTCGCAAAGAATCGATCTTGTTCAGGAGTGCCTGTTTTGGCAGATTGCAGTGGTGTGTCTGTAAAGAACCTCAAGGGGGAGATGTGGCAAAGCCAAAGCACCCATCCAGGAATATCGAGGAGCACGCAGATCCTCTACTGCCTAGTCTTCGTGACCAGGCAGGGCCTAGCGTCTCTTGCGGTTGCAAGAAGTTGAGACCTGCACGACAAGACTTAGTAAAAACCTGCTTATTTCCAACCGCTTTAATGGGATACGCTGCAAGACATAAGCAAGGGGGACTGGAGGTTGAGTCAGCTCAGTCCCTGTCGTGTCCTTGCCAGATACCTGGACCTCCTAGCCAAGCTCTGAGCTGGTGCAGCGGCTGCGCGTGATCGAGTATATTACATCGAGTATGGTGTGTCGAACTTTAGGCTCAGGGCAGAATCTTCTGCAAACCTGCCCAGGACAAGACTCAGGCGTTCTACCTGGTCTTCTTCAAGATCACGTGCCCTCTCAAGCTGCCAAGACTCGAAGGATCCCTGCTGCGTGCCAGCCGCCCCCGTTCGAAAGGTATATCGTGACTTCCATCATCGTCCTCGCGGTGTTCTATAAGCTGGATGCCACATACGAGCGCCAAAAGGCTGCCCTTAAGCCCAACTCTAGTATTCTAGCAAAGGTCCGTGCGCCTCACGCAGGATACCTGCAGTTTAGCAGCAATCCTGGTGCCGTGCAGCATCAGCGCATTACTCCTAGCCGAGACGCGTGGTTCTCAGTTGTGAGGCCGTGTGCGCCAGCAGTAACTCCCACGAAAACAGAAAGCCATATAGGCGAGTAGTCAAGATCCTGCAAGGTACCAGGCCGTTGATATTCTATGGACGTTCTCGCAGTTTTGCGAGGGCTTTGCCATGGTAGCCGCCTGAGAAGATGGAAAACAGACGGAGTATTCACGTCATGCTGATGACCTGGTGCTGAAGGTTCCTCAGTACGTCTTCTGCTACCGGGATAGGTTGGCAAAGGACTGCGCAGAAGAAAACAGCCTCACCTCAAGGTGCATTACTGGACGGTCAGTGTGTGTGGCGTTGCTAGGATGTCGGCGTCACCCTCTACGTGCTGTCGATGGGCAGCGATCCCAGCATCTTCGATCGGAACTGTTTTGAGTCCGCAACCTGAGATCGTTGCCTTGAAGCGGGCTGACAGTCTGAACTGATCGTACTGGCGCAGGTGCGTATCGATGCTTCTATGCTGCAAATTGGATTTACAAGAAGGCACCTTGCATCACACTTTGGCAGTGAGAGGCCACCAAGCCCAGACTTGTGTTTGGGGGCTGCGAGGTTGTAGCTCTGTTGTCAACTGTGACATCAACCGCATTCACATCCCCGCATCCATGTCTTCTATTCTGCTGGCCTCAAGCTGAATAGCCTGTTGGCGAGACTATATGAAGGGGCAATTGAAGCGGGTCGACAGCATGAAGCGCAGGCAAACCTATAATTCAGATGTTCCGCAGATGCAACATGACCAAGCTGCAAACACAATATGCTACGAGGAGGAACTTGGAATGACACCAGCAAAGCACAAAGAATGCCGAATGCGACGTAACGCTTTAACCCCACCCCAAAGCAGCGACGCACGAGCAAGCTTGTCAGCCGTTGTTCCTGTGTTGTTCTCCCTGCGTGGCCAGCCTCTGGAGACATGAGGCGCCTGGGTTTGAGGAGAAGCAGAGCACCTTTCACAAATTTGAAGATTTGGTCAGTGTTTTGCAGAGCTGTCCAGACAAGTCTAGAAGCGTGTCTGTGCCTTAACCCCCATAGAAGCCAGAAGAACTTCAAGGCCCGGAACGCAGCTACATTCTTTCCAGCCTTGGAGGCCCAGGGCCTCTGCTGGGGTGCGGCCGAAGCGCGCTGCTGGAACTGGCACCGGGCTTCACGCTGCTCTGATGCAATTCCAGGATGGGCCCCTGTGCTGGTACCATGCGAGGGAAGTGGGATAGCAAATGTGGGTGGCGTAAAGTAATGCAGATAGGTACCAGAGCCACTTGCTTTCCTACTCCCCCCAAGGGCACGCAATGATCAGTTCGCAGTGAGACGGTTTCACATCACGACGGCCGTGCCCAGCTTTGTTCTGACACTGGCTGCTATGGCTTGCTTATAGGCACCTGTAAGGTTCTCCTACATTTGAGCACCCGAAAAAAATCTGATGACAGTCGCTCGCTCCAGCACGATGGCTCGTAAAGTTGCTAGGGTCCAACGAGCAGCAGAGTACTGTTGCGAGATTCTCGCAGGCCCCCTACTTGTGATCTGTCAAGAACCATCTAGGACGCATGTTTTGGCAATGAATGGTCAAGAGCAAGCAGTTGGCATTGTTGACTGCAAAGATACCGCAGATGCGGTCTGGGTCTAGGGTTTACTGTAGGGTCTACAGAAATCTTGAACCTTGCGACGTCAACCCTTATCCTCGGTCTGGAAAAGGTCACCTCCCCTCTCCCAAATTGACATGGAATCCCACCAAGCCAACTTTCAAAAAGGGCACCTGCCTTGAAAGGGCAATATGAGGCAGTAGTCTTGAAACGACTCTTTTTGGGGTTTCCATGTTTCCGGGTACTTTTCTGGTCGACGTAGGAGAGAAGAGCCAGTCCATACCATGAACCCATCTGAACCTTGAACCCAGCCAGACAGCATCATCAGCAGAATGTTTGTTTCTACATTTTCTACATTTGGGCTTCATATTCAGAACTTAGGCCCAGCTGGCCACGACCAGTGGCGCTCTGTCAGACTATGTCAAGGTGGGTCAGCGAGACGTTTGTGGCAAAAATGAAGAAGATCATACCTGTTGTTTGAAGTGGCGTGGAACTTTCAGCTCTCTCTGCTAGGTGCGCACGGTGGGGCGAGGAAGCTTTGGTGAGGCCCTCCTGGCCTCTGGGCCTGGTTTATGTCGTGCTAAGTGTGCCAGGTAACTCAGGCAGGCTTCGCAGGCTTCTAGGACCATGCGCTTGGAGCACCTTCAGCTGCAAGCTGGCTGGGCCGCCCAGGTGAAACATCGCAGCTCCGGCCAGATGTCCGTGCTGAAGCGCGTCCGCCTGGAGGCCCTGCAAACAGCTCCGTCTCTAAAGTGAGCATTCAGCGTACGCAGAGCCATTTCATCACAGGGCAGCAGCGATGCGGCGGCTGCGGCCGAGAGCGCGGCACGGGAGGCGCAAGTGCTTCAGAAACTGCGGCATCCGCACATTGCCGCGGACCTCAGCAATTCATCTTGTCCCTGCTGGCAAAGTATGTGCATGGAGACAGTTGTGTCTTTGACCTGCATGCGTGCCCAGGTGGAGTTCTTGGGGGCCTTTGTAGACAACTCGCGGGATTCCAGTGGTGGCACGCTCTGCTTGCTGATGGCCTTCTGCGAAGGCTCTTGCGCAGCACCACGGGCACTTTCACTTGGATGCTGATACAACGCCATAAGGTTCCTAATACTCATGGAGTTGACAAGTATCAGAAGGCTGCCTGTCCCAATCTGAGCAGGAGGTGACCTGCAGCACAGACTTCAGAAAGTCCGGCAGGCGGGGTAGTTCCATGCTCCCCCCATCGAGGGTCCACGCATCAAATCCCAAGAAAAGTGAGAATGGGAGGATAACCCCTCAGCACAAGCAGCCGCAGTCATAGCGTAGCAGCTTTTTCATATTATTACTATCCTATATACCACCAGTTTCCATTTCATTTTCCATTTGATTTTCCATTTGATTCTCCATTGTTGGGGCTAGTGACAAGAAAGCAGTAAGAGGACAGACCAACTTCAAGTTGAGGACCTCACCTTCCCCTTGCTTCTTTGCCATTTGCCTCCCTCCACTTGGGTGTTTATAGTATGTTTTAGCATTTTATAGTATCAGTGATTATCGTATATCATAGTTCATCTTAGGATTCTATAGTGTATTACAGTATTCTATACCCTAAACCCTAAACTTTAAACCCTATAGTTTATTGTGGTTTCTTTGCAGGAGTGCCGCCGGCTCCCCGAGCTCCCCGCGCTGCGCTGGTTCGACGAGCTCTGCAGCGCACTGGCCTACGTGCACCAACACCAGGCCAGGATGTTGGGGTTATATCCCAATGGGGTAAGATTGGGGTTGGGTTTAGGGTTTAGGGTTTAGGGGTTTAGGGTTTAGGGCAATGGAAAAGATGGAAACTATAGGGATTTTAGGGGTTATATAGAGATTATAGGTCATATCTTGTTATTATATAGGGATAATGGAAAGGAACATGGAAACTAGTGTACCTACTATAAGGGATTGTATAGACTTTAGGGTTTAGGTCGGGGTTTGGGAATTCCAAGGTTGGGATGAGTTAGGTTGAAGATTTAAGGTCTACGGTCCAGGGATGAGGGAGTCTAGGGCTTGCATATAGGATAGGCTACTGCTTCCATATATGCCATGGTATTGTTGAAAGTCTTGTATTCCTCTGAATAGTGGAGAAGGACAACCTTGAATCAAGCAGGGCCGCACGGATCTCTTTTGTTGCTTTTCGGGTTGGTTGCTCGCTGCGAGGTCTTGCACCGTGACCTCAAACCATCCAACATCTTCCTCTCTGGCAGAAGTGGTGGCAGCGCCCACCACATCCACGAAGAGGCGACTTGCGCTTGATCGGGATGCCAGATCAGATCTTGAGTTTTGTTCTCCGTCGTGTGATGAGGAGTCGGTGTCGATCGGAGACTTTGGGGTCAGCCGGCCTTTGACCCACTCGATGGAGCTGGTGACCACAATGGTGGGAACACCATGCTACTTGAGTCCTGAGGCGTCCGCACGCAGGTTCTGCAGGGCATTGAGGTAAACATTCTAGGAACATGCGTGGTAATGTATCACGCATACTTAAACTCCAATGGGAGATTATCTTGTGCATGAGTTGAAGTTGAAATCAACAGCATGTCATGGTCCATGCCGCAGCAACAGTCTCAAAGACCAGCAATGGTTGTACGGCTGGGCCTCCGACACTGCGCGCTATGCCTGGCCGTCGGTTCGTTCTGGCCCTGGACTTTTAGCCCCTCGACTCAGTGATGTCGGCAGGGCCGGAAGGGTTGTGGCAGCTGGCGGCCCTCCAGCCCCAGGCTTGCTTTCTCCTTCCACCGGGGAGCAACGCTTCCTGATCGCCCGTCATGGCGAGACAACCTTCAACGCGGAGAAGCGCTTCCAAGGCACGAGATCTGTCCTGTTCTTGGGCCTTTTGCTGTGGCTGTGATGCCAAGGCTCCATGGATGAGGGCCCAGTCCTGACCGCCAAGGGCATCTCCCAGGCAGAAGAGCTGGGAAAGTGGTTGAAGGCCCGCTGAGGGAACTCGTGTACCACGAAATGGTGTGGCCTGCTAACGCTTTCTGTCGCTTTCTCGCAGGTGAACCCTGTGTCTGCCGTGTACGTCTCTCCGCTGCTGCGAGCCAGACAAACCCTGGAGGTTGCCAGGACTATCGCAGGAGCTGCGTGGTTGATGCTTGAGGGACGTACTAAAAATTGCTGAGCAATACATCTTGCTGCTCCACACGCTTTTACAAGTAGGCGACTCAATTCCAGCCACTGCCACGGTGCTACCAGAACTTCGCGAGATCGATCTCCACGAGCCCAAACCTCGGATCAAATCTCAGGGATGCTGTCTCCTATGCCCGCTCTGCAAGGTGGGAGGGCCAGACGCAGGATGAGATCAGGGCCCAGGATCCAGAAAGCATGAGACTATGGAAGGACTGCCAGCGCAAGAAGACCACTTGTGAGACCCTTGAAAGTGGCAAAGTGCAAGTCCTGATATGTTCAGCACCTTTTGCCAGGAAGAAAGTTGGAACCTTCAGATCAGTGGCCGCATCTTGGCGTCAGTTCCTGCTTATTCTCATAAGGGATTAAGTGGATTTTGCTTTGGTGTGGGCCTTGAAGTTTGTTTCGTGAAAGAATGGTCGTACTGCCCATGCGGTATCATGTGGTCATGTTGCAAGCTGCTATCACGTAGCCGCAGCGTGGTAGGACCCTCCCATGACGACCTCTAAGCTTCCACCCATCTGTCAGCCAGGAGTTTGGATAGGTACAGTGCGATATAATCCTCCCAGCCCACACTTGCATGCCCCTGTACTCCCGTATCGCCAGGACCTTCCCAAATTGATGCTGCCATTGTCTGAGAATTTACGTGGCCCTAGGCTACGTGGTGCGTGACCTTTGGCACCGCGCCGCTGAAGCTTGGAAACAGATGTTGCAGGAGGAACTGGAGGGCTTCCTGACTGGAGCGTGGCACATCCCAAAGTTCCGGATTCTGCTGTAGCAGTCGGGACAAAAATTCAAATGTTTTGGAGTACATGGCCTAGAAGCGGCCCCAAATATTGCTCGCTAAAGAACGTAAGGTTTGTCAAGCCGGTAAGCGTTATCGCACGAGGCTTGGGCTCATGTAGACGGAGGGAGGCTCTGTTGCTGTGAGCAGATTTGTTTACAGTGCATGGTCCAGGCATGAGTGATGCAGGGATGTACAGAGGTGGCAGTCTTGAATCTGGCAGGACGCGCCAGCAGGCAGATCACTGATCGTGGCTCATGGGGCCCTCGGCAAGGCAATGGCCTTGTCAGAGACATCACCGCAATCCAGCGAAGTCCACGTCTTGCATTCGCACGCGCCTTCTACAGGCTTTGCTGAGTACTGCGCTTGGCTTGCCAGAGCAGGCGCCATGTTTTCTGTAGCACATGATGGGAGCAGCTTGCCCAGCCGTGGGTCCCCCGTAGAGCTGGATTTGCATTTGTTTACTCGGCTGCTCGGCTGTGTTCTGTGCGGGGAGGCCTTCCGCCACTTTGCCATCTCCAACGGTGAAGTGCGCGAGGCAGTGGCTGTGGGCGTATTACCCGTGTTCAGCAGACTGACTTTGCGACACACTAGGGAAATATTCAATGTCCCAGGGGCCTACCCAGTTACTATAGTAGCTTCCATTTCATTTTCCATTATCCCAATATATCCCCAATATACTATAGTAGTTTCCATTTTATTTTCCACTATCCAATATCTTTTTAGTAGTTTCCATTTGATTTTCCATTATCCCTATATGAGC